AGGGATTGGCTGAAAAAAAAAAAAAAAAAAAAAAGAGAATGAATGAGTGGAATGAATACTTACCAGCACTCGCAACCCTCTTCGACAGCACAGCAGCAGCAAAGAGCTGCGAGACAGGCCATTAAGCAGTTGTTGCTGCCACCGCGTCGGCCACGAGATTCCTGGGGAGGAGCCTGCTGGTACTGCATGGGAGGCTGGCCCTGAGGAGGACCATAGTACTGTCCCTGGGGAGGACCGTATTGACCCTGGGGCGGGCCGTAGCTCTGCGAGTCGGCGGAAAACGCGATGGTTAGCGTCATCAAGCTTCGGGACTCTGCCGCGACGAGCAAACAGATACAGACAAGGGAGCTAGTGAGGGCTTCCCGAGCTTCAAACTTACGGGCTGAGGATGGGCGGGATAGCCACCCTGCTGGCCCTGGTAGTACTCCTGGCTGGACATTGTGAGACGGTGGTGGTAGAGGACGAGAAGGAGAGAAGCTGTGTGTAGAGCGACAAGGCGAAGTTGAGCGCGGGCGAAGAGATAGCGAGGGTTATGTATTAAAATATAATACGAGAACGGGATCAAAAACTGAGGAGAGGTAAGAGGTAGTTAAGAGGTGAGAGGTGAGAGGTTGGAGGCGGAGCGAGGGGGGTGTTCGATTGAATGCCTACCTAGGGTATGACTACTCCGTACATGGCATAGTTGGGGCTTGGAGTCCAGATGCCCCGACATCAGACACATCAGACTGGAACAGTCAAGGCGGGCCCCCATAACCAAGAGTCAATAGGCTTAGATGCAGCAGACTAGCGCGCGTGTACTCCGTACAGCACTTCAGGTCAATGGCCGCAGGCGGGCTGGACCTCGCCTGTTGACCTGCGCAGTCTGGTCTGGTACTTGACTGTTTGGAAGCTGCCGGTCGAGCATCGGAGCACTGGAGCCCTGGAGTTGTGCGGGAGAGGGCGAGGACCCGGACATGACATGTCTGAACACAGTGGCACAGTCCATGCTGCGTCTCGCAGCTCTGCTACTCTTGACATGGATGGTATTTGGTATTTCGGTTCAGCGCCGACGGAACTGGTGGGCTGTTTGCACAAAGCAGCGCGGGAATAACACAAAAGCGCGCGGGTCAGGGTCAACTGGTCATTTCGAGGCACCAGACGGCTTGGCGTAGACTGTGCTGGTGCTGCCTTGTCATTACAGGGCGACAACGGTATTGACCCGACCACGGACCTTGTGAGATTGGCAGACGCAGGGAGTGCGCCAAGGACGACTGTAAGTAATACCTACCTAGGTTGCTGCGACAAGACAGGATGATATTATCAGGCGGCGAGAAACTGGCATCGGGGTGCACACATGCGCAAGTGACCTCTAACAATAAAGCTGTGTTTTGCTACCGAGTGATCCATAACCCACGACTCACCCACGTCTCCCCTCAATCCTTCCAAACGACAGCCATCGACCAATACTGGCCGCGAGACGCCCACGATACGTACAAGACAACACGGAGCACCCTTCCAAGGCAGCCCAAACAGCTGGCTAGAGCTTAAACCCTCGCGTTTTGGTGTCCCCGTGGCGCCGCCGCACCCAGACAGCTTCCATAGAACAAAAGGAAAAAAAAGAGGCTCCAAGATCAGCAACACCACCACCCCTTGCTCGTACCAACCAGACTGCATCAGGCAAGGGCAAGACCCCTCTAGGTCAAATCTGGGGCCCTGAGATGCCGAAGTTCCGGCACAGGGGCTATGATTTGGTCGCTGGTTGGTTGGAGGGAGCTGGACGGAGCGCTGGAGACCATGGGGTGGCCGATTGTGGCGCGGTTCATTCACGTTTCGCTGCTGATGATGGTGGCAGGATGGATCCCTCAGACTGAATTGACTTTCTGTGGCAACATTAAGCCTACGACAGCTGCTGGGCCTCAGCGGTTGGTGGCGATGCTGACGACGGTTTGTGATGCATCTTGCTCGTCTTGGGTGTCTGTCTACCCACCTGACCGTATCGAATCTACATGTTCGCATCAAAGACAGTGGCTGGGAGTAGCACTGCGGTACGCGTATTCCACACCGTGGAGAGGCCTCCTTGGTTGTATTGCGTGGCAAGGCTTCACATGATGCTGATGCTTCATCCTCATGACGTACGTACGTATGTACGCCTTAACCAGCGCAGAGCCGGCGCCTTACGACCGAGGGTGCAGAATGTTCCTTCGATTCTGAAACCACAACCGCTGGACGGTCATCCATTGGCGCTGGCATCTGATACAGATTTCAGAGCGTGGCCCCTGCAAGAGTGCGATGGGCTGCTTACACCGTCAACGGTTACCACAGACATTTGGGATGAATCCCAGTCTCGGGCCTTCGTCGCGCGCTTACGCCGTACAACTTGGAAGACTCACCATGCTGCAGACGATAAATGATGAATGTACGGAGTACTGCCTACTACCCTGGTCGCCAGGGCTGGCAACTCCTCCTCTACTTGGTGCGATACAATATAAGCTTGATTCATAACCTCGTCGAGTCCATCCACTTTGGGTGTGCCATTATCTGCTTTTCTTCTGTAACGTGGATGATGTGCCTTTGAGTACGATATACGCCCTTCAACATGGGCGAGGTTCTACTTGGAATATTTAGAACCATGGCCACTAAAAATGTGCACAATCGACACGGCGGCGTTTCTTCGCCCGAAGTACTACTTCGCACCGTGTCGAGCCGCGGTAGGTACCCTCGCCCGAAGATTAGGATCATCCATGGAAACCCTCCCAAGCTCATTTCCTCTCCACTGCTGGCCATCAGGAGGATTTCCTCGCCAATACGCAAGACATGCCCCGTACCTCGCCAACAAAAAAGAGGGCGCAGCGGAAGTCGACCGAAAAGAATGCGCCCAATGTTGAGCCTACCGTCCCACCGCCCTCCTGTGCTGCGCCTCACTGGCCTTGCATCCCAGCCAGCCATTCTCTTGCCAAGCGACATACCGGCACAGCGTATCGCTGGGCGTGCTCTTTGTTTCAACGTACTTGACGGGACCCTTTCAACTCTGTCGTGTTGGCTGCTGACACGTATTGCCAGTTTAGTTCCGTTCCGTCGCGGGAACACCCGCCTTTTGCGAGATTGTCTTGGCGTTGCGGGTGGCATGGAGCCGTGGTTCAGCCCAACGTTTACCACGAGAATCATGACAACGACGGCTGCTAAAGAATTTTCATCCTCCGCACACAACGTCCAATACAGCGGTACTGATGGATGAATCCAACGTTGGCTCCTTCTAGATTTTGAATACCTGGCGTCCTCTGCCATGTGGTTGGTGAACTCACTAGTTTGCTTGGCAACAGCTGATAGCCATGGGCGGCGTGGAAGTGGAAGACGGATAATCAACTCAAGGTTTTCACGGGACTCTAAATTCCTGTCATGCTCCAATTCCGTTCGTTGGCGGTTATAGTGTATCACGTCATGCTCTACGTTCCTCTCATTCCATCGTCTTATTTTCCCCTTCATAGACAGGAACGAAAAGCGTCACAGTCCAGTCGCAGATATTCAAGCGAGAGAGCAGAGTTTGGCTCTCGGATACCACTTTTGACGGTTCACTATGCTGGTATCAGTCATATTTGGCTGACCTTGCTTCGCGGAGACTTGTCACACCGCATGTTCTCAAACGTTTCAAATTCATTTGACAAAGAAACCACCAGCGTTCACATCCAAACGTCAACAAATTCCAAGGGCGAGTTCCCTTCGATAAATATTCCACTACGTGCTGGCCGCGAACCCATAAATAGAGAAACAATCGACCGGTGCCGGCAGCCTTTACCCCAAATGCCGCTGACTTGGAAATGCCAGATCAGGCTCAAGTTCGGGTCTACACTGGAGGCAAGAAGTATTTGACCTGACGAGATGCCTTTTTATTACGCTTGAAGACATTAGGACATTTGGTATATACTAGCTATCAGCAAACATATCTTGCTTGGAACTGCATATACAATCCAACTCTTTAGGAACTGGCGGACAATGCCTCCCCGTTCTATCAGTGAGAGAACTGAGATGTTATTGCCTTGAAATATGACGTCAGAATATAATCAGGTCATGGTTTCGCCCCAGTGTATATATATCGAGTAGCAAAAGGGGGCCAGAGAGGGGGAAAGAGATGGCTTGCTCAACCCATAACCTGCCACCGGATCTCCACAGCTTTGGCACCCAGTTCTTGACTTGTCAAAGGTTTTGTACGTCAACATGCCACCAAGGAATCTTTGGCAGTTGACGAGTAGGGAACCCGTGCTGGTGCCGAAGAGATTGCTTGCCGCCGTTCGAGTCTGAAGGGGCTCGGGATTTGACCGTGCAAAGAGTCCATCCCCATCATTCTGACCAGAACGGGGATCGCGAGTCCTCTTATCTTGACTTTTACTTTCCAGACCGCATCCGGTTTCTTGCTCAGCTCCCATCTACTGGGCTACTTTACACTGCGAAAGCAAGAGGCGTAGATGGCACATGTTGTGTAGCTGAAAATGCTGGAGGTATTTGCTCCAACATGTTCTTGCGCACGGTTGTATCAAAATGTCGAGCTGAGTCAGTGCCGGTAAGGGGGCTGCAAAAAGTTATTACTTGATAGTACGTGTCGCATCGTCCATTTGCTTTGTCAGATAACGGAGCTTGACGGCCATGTAGGTCAAGTTGGGCTGACCTAGCAACAGGTCCAAATCAGCATGTCTGTTTGTTTCCCAGAGAGAATGGGAGGGGTTCAACTGATGTTTACAACTTATTTGGCCCCGTGTTTCCGCCTTGTTCGTCTCGGACTAAATATGACTCGGTACGCACCGGCTCGCACGAGATACGAAATCTCAACAACACAACAACGGGGATATTGGATAATTCGCCAAAACGAGAGCTCACCGCTAGCTGCTCGGACCTGTGAGACTACACACACAGTTGACCTCCATGACCACTCAGCACGAACCAGATATGGGACCGCGCGAATAATATGTGTCAGCCAAGGCTCAAGCCCGAGAGCCTTCAGCGGGAACTATACTAGTATTCCGTATCCCAGACACCACTAGACTTCCCATTTTTGGAATCATGGGGCCCAACGTTTGTCGAGGGCTGGTTTTGGGCAACAATGAGGCTTCATCACCCAACACTCGCATGCGCAAGTATCAACGCAAGAGCCACGACTAAAACCTGGCGATTCATTCATCAAAGTCGACTAAAAACAGATAAACCGGCATCACACAGCCCGCCTTGTATCAGAAGGATACAATCATGCACACCATCCTTGCTGCTTTGTGATTCAAGCATCATTCATCCGAACTTGACCATGGAGATACTCGTCAGTTACAGACTGGGCCGCTTATACAATGGCACCACCACCACCACACAACAGTGAAAAGTCCAACGTGCTCATTGATGGGCGACGACGGTGAGCATCCGAGCCCAAGCTCTCACATCTATTAAAACGGCAGAGCTGGCCGCTCGCAGTTTTCTCCTTCGTGCTGCGCTCCATTGTTCGAAACGAAACCATCCCTTGGCCTGAAAGGCGGCTCTTTGTTATACGTACGTACAAACAGCAAGCCCGTTGCCCGAACCGCATTACTACTTCATGCCGTCTTCACCACTTAGCAGAAGAGACGCCCAACTGCGTATCAATGAGTCCCTCGGCTGAGCCTTCCCGGCTGAGTGGCCACCGTGGCGAGCCATCTGCACCCACCACCCAGGAGAACCAGCCGGGCGAGTTCGAAAAGGCCTGGCGTGAGAAGGTCCACAACGGCAAATGGGAGAAAATATGCGCTGCCACCGCAAAATGCGACCAGTGTCAGCTCCAGGGCCGCGAGGTCCTTCAGAAGTGTTCCTCTTGTACGTGGAGCATTTGCCGGGAGTGCAGTGCAGCAATTCCTGGATCCCTCAAGAACAAGACTCACAAACTAGATGACAACGTCGTGGACTGGGACGCACCCCCAAAGAAGAACAGCGCCAATTCAAAGAATACGACCACTAGGCGCGCCAAAAGGGCCAAGACGGCCAACAAGGTTGAGAGAACTCTTATGCCTGTCAAGGAACAATCCCAGGCCAGTGGCATCAGTGGTCACGGAAAGGGCCAGATTCTTCCTCTCCCTCTCAAGGGAAAAGCACACAAGGCAATTCAAACCATGGCCGAAATTTCATTCCATCCCCCATACAGATACCTTAAAAGCTTTGATGGCGATGAGTATGAAATAGTCGCCGGTATGCTCACCCGGAGGCAAAGCTCCAATAGTCTCAACCTGGACAGGCAAGAGAATCCAAGTACAAAGAGGGGTTCTCTTGTACCGGCTCGAATATTTCTGCCGCACCCATCGACAGTTCCGTACCTGCCCTCACCACATCCGTCCGGACACTCTTTGCAACTCCAGTATACTACCGGTAGGATCACTCACAACCTCCTTAGAGAACCATTGCCGTCCCATATCAAGCCTCATCAGCATCCAACAGTCCGACATGAGTCTCCCGAGCCGCTGCCGTGGCTTGCCCCGATCAAGGAACGTCCGAAGGTGGATGGCCCGTCTCCAGTTTGTCTTTGTGGATTGCGCCATGCCCACGACAGGCATGCCAGTCCGTCGAGAGAGTCCTCCCACGGCAGAAGAGACCGTGGTAAACAGACTTGCCTGGAACCTGGACCTCCAAGACCGTACCAAACTCTTCGACCCATGCGGCAGGAATTCACACCGACTCGTGTGTGTGAAGAGGAGCCGAGCAGGGGGCAGCCCGCTCCGGAGCGTTTCACCAATCCCCGGAATCTTACATCTCAATGCCAAGAGTACCATGAGACCAAGTCCACTCTAGGGAAGCGTGGCCGGCCAACATCTACATCACCGGAGCCCGAGGTCAACGGAGAAGAGCCCTACCCAAGCCGTGCGCCCAGGTGATTGTGATCAATGCTAGGCTTGTCGAGGGCGAGAGAATCAGAGAATCCAGAGGCAAGAAGAGTCCAAAGAGCACTATGGCTCAGGTGCGTTTGGTTTGCGCCCAGGATGGCGCAGTGTACCTTGTATGGTTTTCTTTTTTCCCCCTTTCCCCCCTTTCCCTTTGTTGCATATGGGAGGACAAATTGGGTTTCTCTCTCTCTCTCTCTTTTTTTTTTTCGCATACCCACGGTCTAGAGACGATGTCGGGCCAAACACTGATGCTATTCAACTTTTTCATGAAGGAAAACAAGGCAACATTCCACAATGGCCGCTTGTCACGGGAGGAGTAGACAGTATGTGTTTTGGACGGAAAGCATGGATGATGATGTACGGCGCGTTGCGCCAAACTGCAGCAGAAGACAGGAATGAGAAATAGCCTGAAACCACCGCAGAGCACAACGGGGTAGTTGCAAACACAACCAGTAACACAAAAACACCGCCCAATAGAAATCAACAGGCCAATGCTTTGCACAATCACTGAAAGAACACCAAGTCATGGTAAAATCATTCTGCAATGCGCCTGTATCTAACAAGCACAGCCCGCAAAAGCCTACAAGTATCATGCAGGAAATATCCTTTTTTAAAAAAAAAAAAATCGCCTTTATTCGTCCTCATTACATCGTGGATGCATGTAGCCGACTGATCTGACAGGCAACCCCCAAACAAAGCGCCATGCGCAAAACGTGTGTGCCGGGGACCTAAAAATACTGTAGTTTACTCGTTGTCCTCGCCCTCCTCCTCGCGCTCGTGCTCGCGCTCGTGGTCGTCGTCCTCGTCGAAGCTGCCGGCGGGGACTTCGTAGAGTCGGAGAATGGACTTGTTGGGGTCCTTGACGAGGACGAACTTGCCTTCCCCGCGCTTGAGGCACATGTCGGCAATGGTGCGGACGATACCCCAGCCGTTGGAGAGGGACAGGTTCATCTGGTTGGCGAAGTCGCGGGGCTTCCAGCCGACGACGCCGAGGATGACGTGCTTGTCGTTGGAGCGGGGGTTGACTCGGGAGACAAATCTTGAAGAGTGTTTCAGTCAGCACTGGGTTTCCGTTTTAAAAGGGAGGATTGGGGGTTCGGTATTTAACGGAAAGCGGGAAAACGTACCCGAGCTTCATAATGTCAGACTTGGAGAGGATGCTCTGAACGGTCCACCTGGCCAGCTTGCAGCTGTTGTTCTTCATCTCGGTAGCTACAACGGCACCACGCTGGGTGACAAGCTTGCTTCTCCAGTCCAAGGCGCCGCCACTGCCTTGAGCCTTGCTGTCGAACTCGTTGAGGGCTCGAATGGTGACGAGCTGGTCCTCGCCGCCAGCGGCGCCCTTCTGGACGGCATCGACCTCGGTACGGACAACCAGGTACACGGGCTCCTCCTCGTTGGTAGAGAGATCGAACTTTCTGTACTTGTAGGCCTTGCTCGCGGGTGGGTCGGTGTCCTCGGACGAGTTGTAGAAGGGGTTGGCGTGGGCCATGTCGACCTTGGAGGTCTCGCTCTCGTTCACCACCTGGTTGGCAAAGTTGTGGTTGATGTAAGTGGCCTCCTCAGCGAGGGCAGCAGGCTGGTTGATGCCCTCCTTGCCGCCGTCGGCTGCGTCGAGAGGCGCGTCGGCGGCATTCTCATTGACGGTCACCATGTCGAGAGTTGCATTGTCACGCTTGTCGAGGAAGAGCTTGTTGCCGTGGCGCACAATGACAATGTCCCAGGGATAGACGGAGCGAGGAGCGCACATGAGCATGGACAAGATAGTGTCGGTGGCGAAAATGGTGGCCTCGTCCTTCTCGGCGAGCTCCTGGATGACTGGATCGGAAGAAGTGGTGACGTTGTAAGCGGCGCGGTCAATGGCTGTGAGCTTCTTCTCAGCACCCTTAACGGGCTGCTTGTCAAACGAACGGTCGTAGTAGTAGAGGAAGCCGTAGTTCTCGAGGTCTTCTCCATCATCTGCGTCCAAGTTCAGCTTAGCCAGGCGGTTGAAGTCAATCTCCTCGAGCAACTCCCAGTCAGCCTTGATGTTAATGCTGGCATCGCGGTTGCGAGCAGGCTTATCGTAGTCCTTCCAGCCAAAGCGACGGCCTCGGGCACCAGTGTTGGACCGACCACCTCGGTCGTAGCCCTGTCGGCCGCCTCCAGAGCGCTGGAGTTGGCCTCGTCCGCCACGGCTATCACCACGGCCGCCACGCTGCCCACGGCCTCCTCTGGTGAACACAGCTCCGCGGCCATATCGTGATTTCGTGGATTCTCTGGTGTTGCTGACGAGGGAGAAGGTAGACTCGTCTTCGGCGGGAGGAGCGTTGAAGGTGATGGCATGGCTGGCACCGTAGGCTTGTTGGTCTAAAAGGTAAGGAACATTGACATATTAGCCAAATTCAAATCCGAAACAAGAATCGCAGTCCATCCCGGGACAAGGCGCCTACCTCTGTAGTTTCTATTGAACTGAGCTCGACCACGATCGCGATCCTTGCCTTCAGCAGTCCAGTCGGCCATACGGCCCAACTTGTCGCCTTTGGAGAATGGCGCATAGGGCACGCCGTTCAGGGTCGTTGCGGACGTGACTGATGGGCCCCAGCCGTCGCCTGGGGGGCAGCTTTCGCAAATCTTCACGTAATCGAGAGAGTCAGCCATCCTGAAGACTTGAGTGTTTTCCAAGAAGGCAGGGGTGGTGATGAAAGTGGATGGCAGAGAGCGGCTGTCTCGATCGTTTCCGCGATGCAGGGAATTTGGACTCTCGAAGTTGAACGAAATTGTGGTGGGGTGTGGGGCGTGCTGCCGAAAACTTGTGTCGCCCCGCGCCGGCCAGTCAACGGCTGGCAACACACAAAGCACAAAGCACAAAGCCCACATTTCAATTCTGCTGGATTTCACCATGAGCTGGCTGGTCTTACCAGCCTGGCGCATTGGGTTTGGAATAATTGATGAAGTAGGATTGAAACGTTGAATACTTCGAGTTTACATAATAGAAAATGTGTGGTATTGCTCCACTTGTAAGAAGTAAAGAAAGACGCTATAAACTCTAACAAAACTCCTTCCCCAACCCCATCGCTGAAAAAATATCATGTCATTGTCGATAATCTTGCGTTTTAATTCCTGCAACCGCCGCACGATTCGAGAGATTTTAGTGAGCCATGATCTCTGGCTCCAGACCCGAGGGAAGCACGCTTTCGAAGGCATCTCTCAGTTCAAACTCCTCCATGACAGCTCCAAATCTAAGCAAGTGAATGTGTGTCAGCGAGGCAGCAATAGCAAATAATTGGAAGATGAAAGACTGTCAGCAACTCACCCGTAACACCTCACTTTGCGGCCCAACTCTGCGGCAATCTTTGCAAAGTCTTCAGGCTGGAAGTCGGTGAATCGTGGATGACTCAAAATCATCCCCCAAGCCATGACAGGAGTAATCTCCCCATCAAGATCGAGGTGTTGACTCAAATCAAGCAGGGTGGACAGATCAGCCTTGCTTATCTCCCAAGTTCCTTGAGCTGGGTTGGTTCCGTCTCCGTGGTCGTGCGTGTGGGTGTTTCCAAATGGTGTCTTGGGCGTCAACTTGCCGAAAGGCGCAGGCGGACACGAGGCCATGAGGGCGTGGCCACACGGCTCACCGCCCTCCGATCTATCGGTAAGGAAGGGAAGGTGCTGCATGCAAGGCTTCTCAAGTCTATTCGATAGGTCGGATAAAACCGAAATCGTTAGCAAACTCTATCTCTCAAACCCCATGGTTGATACGGCGCCCCCCCTTTAAGGAACATTCAGTTCCTTCTCACTGTGGGGGAGGTGATAGGTAGGCCCTCGAAGAAGCGGGATTATCGTACGTTAAAACGAAATCAATTCCTGCTTGCTCAAAATCGACGCCTTTGTTTGCAGACTGTTGTACCAGGCCCCGCATCTGCTGGCCGGTCATGGGCTGAAAATTGGTGGAATGGCCGGTTGAAGCGCCAGATTGTGACCCTGGAGAGAAGGAGGCATAAGAACCCGGAGCACCGCTGTTGCCGGGACTTGCACCCGCTGCGCCGGGACTGCCTCCATCGTCCCGGTCGCCGGATCGTGGAAATTGTATGCCATGCTGAGCCATGATTGTTTTCAGGTACTTGTTTTCGGCCAGTAGCTTTTCTTTGCTTTGCGAAACGTTGCTATACAGTTCCTTCAATCTCAGGACTTCGTCCTCAAGCGCCTTAATGTAGAGCTCCTTGCGTTCGCGATGGGTCCTGGACAACGATGAGCTTCTTTCCCAGGTACTGTAGCTGGCTGTTCACTCACCGTTGTGCTTGTCGGTTCAACTCTTGCCTGCGAGTGAGGGCGGGCTTGCTATCAGGCTTTGGACCACGACGCTTGGCAGGGTTGCCGTCTTGTTCAGCGGATCAGCGGACAGCTCGACACTCTTGACATATATTCGCGGTCGCCGACTAACTAACTCACCTCGTGTGGTCCTTTTCTCGGTCAAAGATTTGAGGAAGCCCAGATTCAGCGGACTGCGATCTTGGCTGGTCGCAGTGCCATCTGGGGAGCTATGAGTTTGAGCGCTCCCAAATTGATCAGGAGATAATGAAGACGACATGACGGCGGCAATACGTGGTGCAACCTAATGTCAGGACGTATCACGTCTGGTCTCAAGTACTTAAAGACTGCGCAATTGTTAGAGGCAGCTCAGTCAAACGAGGGGTCTGGTAGGAGTAGAGTCGCTCACAAGTTCGTCCAATGCCCGAAGAATTACAGGCAAAGTTCACGGAGGAGACGATCAGATAGGGTTTCAGGGCAAGTGCCAAGCTACAATGCGTTGAAACGGCAGGTTAATCAAACTGATCTGCGAGGGATGTCTTGACGGCGCAGACCCTGGGACATGCGGACAATTGCGAGGTTGAACTGAGCAAACAGATTGACACCAGACGGCGGGGTCCTTGGGCCAACTGGCCGGCTTTTAGGATGTGAACAGATGTGAGCAGGATCCGGTGGCAAGGTCGGCTTACTCAATACGTGATGTGACACCGGCACAATACGCTCCAGCGGGCGTCTTCTCTGGTGTACTGTCCAGGGCGCAAGTTGGCCAAGCCAAGAGGGATTTGAGAGAGGTCGAAAAGTTGGTGGACGGTCTGGTTGGGGTTGGTAGGCGAAGAGTCGAGTTGGACCCCGTCCCATCTGCCAACCGCCAATGCCAATGCCAATGCCAATGCCAATTGACAGGTTGTGACCCCGTAAAGCGATGCGTAACCCCCAACCGCAGCTTGAAGAGACCTGCGCCGCAGCGTGCAGTCGACGGCACCGCCCTGCGCGCAGGATCAAGAGCCCAGTGCCTACCGTCAAGTACTTACACAAACAATGCTTGCTTACCAAGGTATGCCAGCCCAATCAACGTTGATGTTCACCCGGTGGCCAAGTTTTTGGCTGTGCGATGCCACACAAACGCGCGTTCGCTCGCACACACACATGCACACCGGTCGACACCCACGGGATCTGTGCGCCTGCAAATGCACCTTGGTGTCCGTAGGTGCAGGTCCAGCCGATTGGTTTGTTGTCGATTCTCCGTATTTTGGCGATCTAGTATCAAAGCGATACGGGGAAAAAAAAAATTCAAAAAAAAATTCAAAAAAATTCAACGTCTTGCACCGGCCTCGCGCCAGTTCCGCCCTTCGCACACCTGGTACTTAAATACGTCGGATCCTTGCATCGTCTGATTCTTCCCTTGCGCCGGTCGCCAAGAAGAGACGACGACGCGTCAACAGTCTTCAACGCTCCGCTCCCATCGTGCTGCTTGACCAGTTTCTCCTGATTGCCGCCTTGTGTCTCGGAACCGTCTCCGGCCCGGGTTTCTAACTTGCAAGTTTGGGGCTTCAATATTGGGTGGTGGTGGTGTGACAGTTGACTATGTTACTATATTTAAGCGAAACCTTTTCCAAGGTTAGTCTCCCTCGAGAATGGATGACGCCTTATAGTTCGTCCTGCTGGTCCGACCTGTTGCACTTGGCAGCTAGTCCCGCCCAAGTCTCTTTATCCGGTCCTGCTCCGTCCATGTCTGTCTGTTTGCCCTCGCGCCTCGGTCCAACCCTGGCAAGAGATGAGACATTGAATCGAGTTCGACGATATCCGTCCGAGGCCGCCACCTCGGAATCTCTCACTCCAAAGCCATCACCAGCAAGCAAAGTCTTGATTAGCATCAAGCAAACCGGCGGCGCCTCACATTTCCTGCTGCCATGTCCCGGCACTCGCCGCCCTGGACCTACCTGAGGGGCCTCGTCATCACAGTGCCATGGCTGCTGTACCTGTTGCTGGTGGACGTGTTAATTTCTATGCTTCTGCCTCTTGCCATCTTCCTTCCTAGATGTGTCTACCACGCCTCGTCCTGTCTAGCCTCCACCGTCTGGGCGTGGATCCAGCTCATATTTGAGTCTCTCAACGGAGCTCGCATTGAGATATCTGGCGACTCCCTGCCCAATGCCGAATCGGCTATTGTGGTGGCCAACCATGTCGCCTGGTCCGACTTCTACTTGATTCAGGCTCTGGCTCGGCGTTCCGAAATGCTGGGATACTGCAGGTATTTTGCCAAGAGCCAGCTCAAGGCTGTCCCTTTCCTGGGTTGGGGTCTCTGGGCCATGGGCATGCCCATGATCAGTCGGAATTGGCTCAAGGACGAAGCCGAGCTTGATCGTGTCTTCTCCGGCATTGTCAACCACAGATTTCCTACATGTCAGTCACGCTCGGTCTAGAAGCCGCAAATCCTGCCAATCCTCTGCCTTCCCTTCTATCATAGGCTTGCCTCCATTTAATCTCCCAGCCACTCTTACAACCGTCTCTTCTAACATAATACGTGCAGGGCTTATCAGCTTCAGCGAGGCGACGCGTTTCACCAAGAAAAAGTTGGCCGAGTCTCAAGTGTGGTGTAAGAAGACTGATAGGCCCCAGCCCAAGAATCTCTTATACCCTCGCACCAAAGGCTTCGTCGCCACTGTTCAACATTTGCGCAAGGCGCCACATGTCAAGGCCGTCTACGACTTTGCCATTGCTTATCAGTGTGATGGCATCTTCCTTGACGCACCGTGCATGTGGGACACATTGAGCGTGCCATCATTGAGCACGAAACACCACTACAAGTTCCATGTCCATGCTCGGAGATTTTCTCTCGAGACTCTGCCCGAGTCCGACGAAGATCTAGCACAGTGGCTTGAGCAGCGGTGGGTAGAAAAGGGCGAGTGGTTGGAATCGCTCAAGCAGACCTGGGCCGCCACCGGCTCGTCATGATGCGTTGCCGTACGGGAGCATACGCGATGAAGTTTTATTCTTAAATTTAACTTTATTTTTTTCTTTCATTTTGGCAACTGTGTCCATTGAATACCTCTGTTATAAGTGTCGAGTATCAGCCGAGATCTCGTGCCACAGTGTTGCCAGCATATTTTTATTTCGTGTCTCCCACTATATCATGCTAATTTTCCATGTGTCTCGATTGCACCGTCGTACTCTGAACATGATTAGTGAATGAAAGGCATACTAGTAGACATACGTGAAAGATTGGTTGGAAGTAGTGAAGGATGGGTGGCACAACCAAGTGCGCGATAGTTGCCACTAGAATACATATCAGTCGTGACAGGCGTGCACGTCGTCAAGTTGGCTTATGTGCTGGATTCGAGCAATAATTAGATCTATCCAGCACTATCCGAGACTGGTAAAGAAACAAATTGGACTTGCTGTTGTCTTTTAGACCCTGTGAGACAACATGGCCAAGCAAAAACTAAGTCAAATCAACTTGGACTTGCACTATAAGCAGGAGGGCAACATTTGAAGGAGAATGTTCCGAAGCCCATCCCCACAGCAAGAGTCATGGAAGCCGACTGAAGCACCAAGTAACTTGACTGTTTCGAACCGACGTTCATGTTACGAGGTCACATCGGATCAGCACCTTGCAGGCTGCAGTAGCCTAGCAGGCTAAAGCCGGCAATGAGGGTACGTGCACCTACGTACAGTGGGTGTAGGTACAGAGTACGGAGATTCAGGCGACCTAGAACACCAGACTGCTCGCCACCCTAAGGGCATGGCGTCCTTACATGTACTAGTAGCGGACGTCGCAAATAGGGCGACCTGTGGAGAAGCTTGGACCCATGAGCTGGCATTGGGTGCATCGCAGGAGGCGGCGTGCAAGTCAGGGAAACGACGTGTCATGATTGGCTGCGAGGCCGCTTTCCCCGCTTAATGTGTCATGAGAGGAAACGCGACTGCGGCATCTGGGACGCTTTGCTAACGACAATGGTGAAAGAGAAATCGTCCGGCCCTCCTGTTTTCTCACGTCCATACCGCCAGTTGGGTTAAATTCTTCGCCCCGTTGAAATCGAATCGGATACCGTCACCGAATTTGCCAATCGACGACAAAATTACTGCTCCCGAGCAGCCGAGCGGTTCCTGCCGCTCTATTGTCCGCTCGGTGCTCTCCGCAGGGTGTTGTTTATCCATCGTGCATCAGACCGTGTGTTCCTGAGCCGCTGACCATTTCGATCTTCTTCACACGACGACTGTGGGAATCACTACACGAGCGACCACCAGTCATGTATCCAGCTCCCGCACTCCTATAGTTCTGGCACCTTTGCCAGACTCCCGAGTCTTCCAGATACCATTACGACGTTCTGAGCTCTTGTTTCGAGTTTTCAAGTCCCATCTGTTGCCAATCGGCCTGCCGCTTCGCCTCTGGCGATTTCGCGGCTCGAACTGCACAGCATTGGAACCAGAGCAGAGTGTGAACAATCCCTGGGCATTATGGAAACCCCTTCTGCCCCGCTGGCCGTGCCAGCCGTGTCTTCCTTGCGTGTCCAACAGGCAATACCCATGGAAAGGACACTGAGCCAGGATATCCGAAATGAGCGTGAGGAGCTTCGTGAGGCAGCAGAGCAGACCCTCAATGCCATCGTCGACCTCAATTTGGACGGAACCATCAAATGGGTGAGCCCATCTTGGACGGAGGTCGTCGGTACTCCATTCGATGCCATTAGTGGCAAGCCAATGTCAGACCTCATCGCCAGCGAGAACAAGAACGTGTTTGCCGACATGGTCGATTCGATGAAGAAGGACGATTCGAAGAGCTATAGGATTCGATTCGCCATTCAACTTGGCCCTTTGTCCAAGTTACGATACGTGGAGGAACTCCAAGGAGATGAGGCACTAGCTGGCGTGCCAGGGCCACAAACAGCTGATCTAGAAGCCCAAGGCATTATGGTTTACGATAGTACATCCGGGGGGCAAAGTCATGTGAGATTCCCTTGTAGTATCATGGCTAACAAACTCGGGTGAACAATTCTCTAACCGAACCTCACGCAGACTATGTGGATGTTGCGCCCATGGACAGCTCCACAAGAAATTCAAATCGACTTGCCAGATGTTATTGTTGACTCCCTCGGATCTGGTGCTGAATTGCTGGCGAGTTATCTGACACGTCTCGCTGAATCCGGTGGTGACGACTTGCAAACCCGCGAACCACCGGCCCCTGTACTGTGTCGAATCTGCGAGCGGCAAATTTCTCCTTGGTGGTTCGAAAAACACACCGACTTGTGTCTGCAAGAACATCGTGCAGAGATGGACGTC